TTGTTCAGTCCATCATAAGCTTGCGTTTCAGCTCGAAAAGCACCAGTTAATGATCTGAAACCATGTCAGCTCCTCTTCTGATTCTCTTTTCTTCCATTACCCTTCTGAATTTTTACTGATACAAATATGACAGATCTGGTTCTGCGTAGTGTGATCCGGTATGATCCATGTAACTTTGTGTATGCGTTCGTGTGAGAATATTACACCACCTATAACCAATTCATTATATGCAAATAAATTTGGAAATCGGTCACCATTTTGGTTCCTCTCCCAGTCCATGTCGTCCCATGATATGTTCGTAAGCTGTGTAGTCCATTCCGACTTTGGCGTCCAGGTCACACATTAAGATGGTCATATCCGTTCCTTGGGATCCCTCTATGATTTTATATTCAATGATGGTAAAATCGTCCGACAAAATATTTTCTGTAAAATAAGATCTAAATTATAAAATGCAAATTTTGACTCTCAATCAAAATTGTTAGTGTGACACTGATCGTAACTCATCAGATTACAACGATGCACAATTTATAGTCAAACCAGTCAAGTCACAAGCAAGAACACTTCTTATCAAACCCAGAAATTTGGGTGCTATGATTTAACGGAAAAAATTTTGAAGGACGTGAAATTTGTTTTAAAATCTTGAACACACTACTCACCTATACCCTTTTTATACCAATCAACGGCGTCATTTTAGACGGCTAATAGAATGCTCATTTTTAAGCCCATAAACGTTGTGAATTTGATTCAGTAATATCAGTTGTAGTCAGCGCCGTTGAAGCTGATTTGATTTTCAGAGAGATGTTTGTCGCTGCAAAATTTACGATGGAGGCGGTACTCCTGAGACTACTCAGTGCTTTCGAGGATGCGACTTTCCCATTTCATAATACGATACAGTCATCGAAATATAAATGATTTCCACATAAAATATGTATGCAGAAGGAAGTATCGCACTCAGCGTCCAACAACTTCTGAAGCGACACGAGGTTTTTTTGCGCAGTAAATTCTTTATCCACTGGTCTAAACGGTCTCTTGGTAGTGTTTGTGAATCCTATATATTTATTCGGCTGATGAAAGACTTTATGAAGTATTCACTTGGCCAATCTGTTGCAATAATGGGCTGCTGCGTATCACTTATGAGACTGATCTTAGCTTTCGTCGTTTGTTGATGTCCGGAGCTGCAGCTTTCGTTGTTATCAGTTTCGTGTATGCAAATTGCGGTTAGGAAATCAGCGTCCAAGGTTCGATGACTTACTTGAATGATTGAAACTTCAAAGTTAGTGTGTAGCGAGGTGTCAAGTCCCAGTTGACTATAAGCACCACTACAAGGAAACACGTGCCAAATAAATCAGAAGGCGGATAGGAACCAAGTTTAATTAATTGGCGATCTCGTGGTATCGAATGAATACCGAGGTCGTGCCAAGAGAAGGTACAAGCGGAAGCAGCAGTAGGGAATACGTGCGAACAGAGTCACGAACCGCGAAACAGTGATGGAGGATAATGGAAGCACAATATGGCCGTAATTAGCACAGTTAAACAAAAACACATTAAAACAAGCACTGGTACAACTGGTTATAATAATAATAATTGTTTTCATTGAACCAATCGCGTTCTCGTGATAAAAGTAAGTCACTACAAGTGTAACCTTGGTTATTGTCTCTACCAAGTATTAACTATTAAAACGTTAGCTACATATATCATTGAGCTTAGAAGCGTTTAGTGGCCCGGGACCTGACTCTAAGTAGATCGTATGAATGATTGTTATTAAATTATTTCTGTCGAAATGTATATGTCGCCTATCCTCGTATACAATCACTGACTTAAATCGGGTTAGTCAATAACGGGATTCAATAAGTCAAATATGAAAATGAATTTCAGATACGCATATTTCATACAATCTTTGATCCAGACACAAGAGAAAAGAGCGAAACGAGACGACGTGCAGTGGAGATGGTGGGTAATCCAACTCCATTTAACCAAGCGTTAATCAACAACTATAGTCGCACAAAAATATGTCACAAACATGCGATGAATAAGATAAGAAAGGCACACACATATGCGCTCATATAAAAGCAGTCAAGATTGATAAGCGAATAATTAACAAGGTCAAAATGTGACTTAAGTGGAATGAATAGACTGTCCTGTGCGAAAGCTAGAATAAGCTAGATGGGCTTAGCATAATTACCGACACTACAGGTTCATCACGAAGTGATCGACTGTTTTTAATGCTACTTCGTTTCAAAAGTAGATAGGAAAATATAGCTCGTCGATTTCTCGATGTCGTTAGTATTGATGGTACCTACAAGTGTAGTTAGAAGGGTATGTCTGTTTATGAGATAGTAGTATTAGACGTCTTCATATAGTGATACCAGTAGCCTCTGACCAGAGAAATATCCGAGGTGAATGGCTGGACTTAGTCTTGTTTGATCTCCGTGCACTTCCATTCAGGTTCAATTCCTGAGTTTTATTCACACATTCTGCTTATTATAGCTGACCGTCCGTATAAGAACTCTAGCAAAACATTATACCCATCCGTAGCACAAGAAATAGGAGAAACCAACAGCAAAAATCTGAATGCTATCAATATCCAGTGATGAAACTGAAGATGGGCTAAAGCGTTTGTAAATTTGCAGATGACTAATAAAATCATCGATTCTCGTGAAGTATCTGTACAACTGTATACACACAATGCATGAATCACTATACGATTACATTACATTACATTACGAGATTACATAAATACAATGCATGATATATTCGATTACAAAAAAATGAAAGTTGTGTATTAAATTTAAGACAAAATTAATAACAGCCTACAGAATATTATGTTACACTATAGAGCACGTATAGTAAAATTATACGTAGTTAAAATTGAACAGTTTGAGAAAATGCTAATGTTCGGATTCATTCATTGAAATCATAAGCCGAGCACTGTTAGACCACCACTAAAAACGTGGGAGCACCGACCAGATGTGCCGTCCTTTTATGGAACTCCTCTATAGAGCTCACCCATAATCCCACAGGTGTGACTCAAACACAAGACGGTCAATTCCACGTGAATTAGTTGATTTTTCTTAGCTTCAAAAGGACATGTCATTTATAACTCTTTGGAAAAAATCGTAATACTTTTCACTTGTTATTCATTATGTTAATTTGTTTTCTGGAAAACTAGTTACGATAAACTAGTGTTTATTCGGAGTGAACTTGCCGATTCCGTCCGATTCGTTCACATGTATAGTGTATTCATCATTGAGAACGTATACTACACAATTTTTACATTATACGTATTTCGTCTGTGCAATAATAGAGAGTCAAGCAGTTTAAAATGTCTTCAACATTATCTTCTTTATATGTCTGGTTATTCAGCTGACATTTAAGTCATATCACAATGCATTCTTCGCAAGATAATCTAAAAATTATCACACACAACTGAAAAGGCTTAATCTGGTATGCGCATGAATAACGATTTTAATTATTACTATTTTTTAATTAAGTATTTGTTCAGCTGTATCACTGCTACCACTCTTCATTACCTAAATCTAGTAATGATAATCAGTATTCTATTCAATGTTTTATCATAAGTACTATTACTTTGATAATAAACAAAATCAGAATAACACATGTAAGCGAACAATTGTTTTCAATTAGATTGTCATTAGGCTTTACTCTAATATGTTAAACCTATCATGGCGATTTGAGTGATTAATCACAATGAGAAACAGATTACGTCACCGCATATAATAGGTAAAAGTACGATTTGATAGTAAGAAGATAGATGTACTGACAGTAGTGATAATAATAAAATATGATAACAAAAGTCTTATCAATACACTTGGTATTGTTTTGCTTGTATCTTCCCATTGTTATTTAGGACTGCAATTGACCAGTCTCATGTTAGCATATATGCATCCTGTGCGGACTACCTCAATATCGAGGCATTTTGATGGAGTTTTGTTCTCTGAGCTGGATGGTTTGGTCGTGGAGATTTCATCGTTCTTCTGAACGACATCATCAGCACAAACTTCAGATAGAAGTGAAGTGTTCTAATTTCTCCATATGTGTTTCACAGCTTGTTCTGTACACCTCGATGTTGATTGGTTGTTATTGACCTTGAATTTGTCATTGTTTACTTCTTTGTTGTGGTTGTGTCTCCCATCGGTTTGATTTTTGTTCCTATATTTATGCTTACTTTACCTGATTGGTTGATAAATTGGATCGATTTCAATGTGCATGTTGATTGCTGATTGATCTGAGTGCCAAGCTCCTAAAACTTCTCTGGTGTTTTTGGAATTTCCTCTGTCCAAGATTTCCACATTTTTCCAATCAAATGAGTATCCGCAGTTGTCCACGTGTATTGATATAAGTGAAGAAATATCATGGCATTTGACTGCTAATTGATGTTCGTGTAGGCGAAGGTGAAGGGGGCGTTCGATTTTTCCGATGTAGTGTTTTTCGCAGTTGGCACAATTTATTTTGTAGATGGTGTTTGATTTGTTTTCCTTTGTTATTTCATCCTTTGGTGTGCATAGTATTGATTATAGTGATTTTTTCCGTTTGTGTGCCACACTTATTCCGAAGGTTTTCAGCAGTCTCGTTGCGGTTTCTGAGGCATACACACAGTATGCACATATGTCAATAACAGACTGATCAATCGCAGTCTTAAACCTCAATGGAAAGATACAAGCCAAACAATATCGAGTGAATAATTTGTAAGATTACACCGGATCTGTACACAATTACATTTAGGCAAATAAACAATACAAACATCGGTATGATCTCGATCAGATGATATTTTTGTTTATATCTAAAACAATCAATTCCTATATACGAACATAACAGGATTGTGTATATTTCATGCACTAAAATTTCAACTTCAAAACATCATTATGATTGTTTATTTACATCTATGGAATGAAATTCGTCATCTTAACTATTTACACCCTGCTATTTGTGATTGGTCAATTTTTGATATAAATTTAAATCATATTAAACAATGATGTGATCATTTATGTAACTGACTCGTTGTGAAAATGTTATTAGATTTATTAAATGGTTTACATCTTATTCTAACAGAAATTATATTAATGCTACTTACGGTAAGTTCAACTGTTATGAATAATTTTTGTAAATATACCGCGAGAGAACGATAGGTTTTGGTTTCGAATCTTGCGCTGCTGAAGTGTCCACAATAGGATGAAACAGCTATCCAGTGCTCTCAAGTCTCTCATAATGGTCTAGCTTCAATCTCAACTATTGAAATTACTATAATATACACGAAAAACACTTCTGATACAAATACACTATACGTCTAATAACTTTAAACGTTCTATATTGTGATTGTGAATATGACTTATATGAAATTGTGTGTATTAGATAATGATCCATTTAACCAACACTTTTGACAATGTATCATGTTGTAGTGAACGTGAACACAAGTGTAGACAATCGAATGCTTTTGAACACAAAATTACAGAATATCATAGTAAAATCTGACATGAAAGTGACTTGCAGAGTGTCCACCTAATTACCAGAACCAAATGAAGGTTATAAACCAGTGTGAGAAATTAAAATTATGATTTACAGTTGATGGTTAAGGTTAGAAATTAGATTTAGGGTTATCTTACATCCTATTGATTCGTCCATAAACTATAGTCTCACCGAAATATCAATACAGCTTGCTTTAGTAGAATCTTAATTTATTCTCGTTTTATACACGTTTATTAATAGCTAACTAATGTTAATATGAGTTATGGAAACAGAATAATATTATGCAATGAATTCGAATATTTTCAATTTTTTGACTGACTGACTGACTGATAAACATTTCATGTTCATTTCAATTTCAGTCTTATGATGAACAAACGTAAGTTTATATGTATTGAAACAGTTTCTGTAATGTCCAGTTGGACTTATGATCGTTGAAATTATTATTTAGCATTCATTAATTCCTACTTACTTACATATGCCTAATACCCCTAGTGGAGGAGCATAGACCACTCACGAACATTTTACATCCAACTCTGTCTTGAACAATCCTTTCCAGTTGTTATTCATCATTTTGATGTTTGCTTCCAATTCTCAACGCATTGTGTTCTTTGACCTTCTTTTCCATCTATATTTAATAATAATTCAGTGTAATACTAATTTTAAATTCGAAAATGTATCTTTATTTTCAAAAATTGATTCCCACCGTTGAGTAAATATTCCATCAGGGTAGTCGTTTATATCATAGAAAATATTTGGAATATCTACTTGAATATTAAAATACTAGAAATACTTGAGTTAAAATGGATATGAGTAAATTCATCAGAATTCGTGTTGACAAATCCATGATTAATGTTTTATCATAAACGAAATAAGGGATACATTATCAATTTGATTAGATAACATTATATGTCAGAACAGTGAAATTTGAACTAATCCGCGTCTGGTAGAGACAGGTATCTACTTCAGTACAAAAGAAGGTGGTCGCGCAATTTAGTGGATTGTTTGAGGTTGGACATTAACACTGTTGGATGCCAGCGAGTTTAGTGGTATAGAGTTCAAGCGTTCGCGCGGGAGACTGGAGGCCCTGAGTTCAAATCCGGCAAGGGAGATCGTGGATACGCACTGCTGAGGAGTCCCACAATTGGACGAAACGGTCATCCAGTGCTTCCAGGTTTTCAATGGTGGTCTAACATCAATCGTCTCGTTATCTCAATCGAAAACTTAATAACCTCCACAACCCATTCTGAAAATTGGTAACAGTTCATTTCTTCACAATATAAATTATGATTGAATGGAATGCAATTATCCAATGAAAATTATATATTGACATAATCAAAAGTAGATTGTTTGATCCTTACTAGCCCGGGACATGACTCCAGTTTGATCGTTTCTGATTGCTATTAAGACATACATATCGTCAATCCTCATATATAGTTATCGACATAAATCGCATTAGTGAATATCGGAATTAAATAAGTCAAATACGAGAATGGATTTTTGAATGTGTATATTTTGTACACTCATAGATCTGGGCTGGAAATCAGAGGCATGAAGCGGATCGAAGAGAGCGAAGGTAAATGATGCGCAGTAGAAATGGAGGGTAAGCCAACTCCATTTAACCAAACGTTAATCAACATAGTCACACAAAAATATGTCACATACATGTGATGAATAAGGTAAGAAGGGCACACACATATGCGCTCAAATAAAAACAGTCAAAATTGATAAGCGAATAATTAACAAGGTCAAAATGTGACTTAAGTAGAATGAATAGATTGGCTAGTCCAAAAAGCTAGAATAAATTATATGGGCTCAACTTAATAACCGACACTACAGCTGAAAATCATCGGTAGTTTGTTCCGATTTGTAGAACCTAACAAAGTAACTACAATTTCGTTTACTTTACATATATGAATATGTTGTTTCGACTAATGTACTAAACCAGATTGTGTAGTATCTTTTTAAAATGTTATTAGCCTTCTAATTATAACCTAAACTTCGATAACTTCTCTCAAAATGTGACTGGCTATAGACAGCCAATGAGTAATATAGTTATCTTCACTCCATAAATATCAAATTAGGGATAAAAACAGTTACAAAAGCTTTTCAACGCGTATCTTTACTTAAGATGTCATCGTTGATCGAGTATTTGAACAACTGGAGATTTTTTGAAATGAATATTTATGACTTTATATTTTTAGCTGACAAACAGTTGTTATTTAACGTCGTTAGGTCTTTGTTCTGTCAGATACTTGAAAAATATCAAACGATTTTAATGCAATCTGATTTGTAATGAGAGACCTGTAAATCTGTTCAAAATACAAAATGGTGATGAATAATCTACAATTAATTGATCACTGGGTGATGATCAGGTCCTTGTTAATGCAAATTGAATCCTATAGACCAAGTTGCAATGTGGTCAGTAGTCTTTATGACTCAACATTGCATACATTATGTCGATATAAGATGATTATTGGAGGTAGTCAACTGGAAACCCTGAATCCAGGTTTCGTGTTATTTGGCACTCGTCAGTAAGGTGTACCTGTTATCTTGAGGGAACCGATACTCTCTGACGGATTCGATCCCATGTCAACCAGCTTCACAGTCAGAGGGGTTACCACTGAGCTATCACAGTGTAGTGATCAATGTCATGTATGTCGTGTCCTACTTAGTGCGGATCGAATCGTATCAATGAATAATGGTAACCTTAACCATAAACATATTGCTTGTTAAGTGATATAGAGGTCTATGATAAAATGCTTACTATGAACATATAAAGATGAGACAGTAAATCATTTCAAAGTCACTAAGTGCTAATCATAGTTTTTTGCAAAACAGGACCGATCATTTCCTTACAAATCCAATCAGAACCGGATCACTGTCAATTCATGGAAATTTTTTTTAAAAAACTGTTTATATATTATTTGAAATGTATATTTTGAATCTACTTCAAGTTCTGTCACTGACAACTAGAAGACGACTGAACAATGAAATATATTTTTAACACTGAAACAAATGATCTTTCAACTGTAATATGAGAATCGTAATATTCTGTTGAGGGTTTAATTTAAAACTGTTAAGTTATCACTAGGATCCAAAAAGTAAATCTTTCATAGAAGGCTCAACGATGTAGCCTAGACATGCTTATAATCTTAATTTTATACATTGATAAACCTAAATCCTGTCGATTGTGTGTCAATAAGTGATATTACGAGAAATAGTTATAACTTTTAAATTTGGTTAACTAACTTTCTTTCGTATCCCCGCGTTTTAAAACTTTTATTTATTTATCTATTTAAGCACATAAACATTAGTACAAGGAGGCAACAAATAGATGCGCGTCACACAAATCATTCGATTTTTGTAAGGGCTAGGATACTGCCAGTGTGCCCAAACCAAAGTAGGTGGTTTTCTTAAGGGACCACAACTGGAGACATTGACCTAAACGTGTAATAAACAAATAAGTAGAGCGACGTCAGAAGATGCAGTCCCTTGTTAGCTGGTGAACAACGATTGGTTCGTACGCCATTTGTTCCTCCAGGATACTGGGGCTCGGGTACACCATGAGTTTGAAATCAGGGTTTTCCAACTCTCTTGGTTGAATCCTCCATATGCACCAAACCTGTTTAAGCCCCTGCCGGACATCGACTTCTCGTCCTCTCAATTTCGTAAACAACACACATGATGAGAGAAGACGGGGAGTAGGACTTTTCTGTCAGTGGTTGTATGCAAGTGGTCATTTGAGGGAGAGTTGACTCTCCCCACTCTCGGCCGTACAAGAGCATTTGGGAACACTCAATCTGGAATATGTTATTATTAAAGAGATAGATTTTAAATTGGATTTTATCTTTTGAATTTTAAAAGCAGTACAGTTATCTATCATTTTAGACCACCATTCATTCGTTCACCTCTTCATCACGTTAATATAAATGGAATTCTTTATGAACCAAAGGTATTTAGTTATGGTACATCGGCTGATGAAGACGTCTACAGAATAGGAAATACTACCAAAGGTAAATGGATATTATCATTTATGCTAATCAAAAGTAAATGTTTTATGTTAAAAAGTTACAAAAAGTTAATATTGATAAAATTTAGGTTTGTTGGTGTAATACAGTATAGTTGAAATTGTGAATATTCAAATTACGAGTGAACAGTCTTTTCATGATTCGACCTACGAGTCAAGTGATGTCATTAGACTACTAATAATATGCATAAATGTAAACAAAATTTTCATACTAATTCCATTCTGTTTCCATTCTTTACTGTTCGACTCACATGTCTGTCTGCTGCCAGACCTTTCTACGACTAACAGCATATACTACTTATGTCAATATAAGTAGCACATACTACAATACCTTTCCTTAAACCTACTGGGATGTGATTTTTAGCACGGCAGTACGAGGTCCTAGAACAGTTGTCTATGTAACTTGATCTACAACGGTAGATGAACTGATAAATACAGAAAAAGATGGACAACCTAAGTAATTTATCTTCTACTCTAGTAGCTACTGGCGGATGCATTGAATAGATGGACTAAAGCTATACCGCACTAAAATTTCTGTGAAATTCATTGTACGACTTTAGCATTATCATCTCGTTGAATGCGTCACCTCTAAATGATAGGCTCATAAACCTGAGGCATATTTCCTACAAATAAGGCTTCATTTTGTTCTATTTTCTTGACTAAGTATTTTTTTTATCAATCTTTCAAGGTACTGGTTTTCTGTTAATGCAATACGTAATGCTTTTGTTTTTCCAGCGACTGTATTTAGTATGCATTATTCTTTTAATTATGTGGCCTAAATGGTAGTCTTTAATATTTTAGAAGAGCAAAACTACTAATATTTACGTTTGTTTTCTTTTGTAATGACCTAATTACTTAATTTGTAAGTAAAACATTTAGAAATGTTATTCAGGTGTTCTTCTTTGGATGTGAATTCGGTGGGTGAATGACACTTATTTAGTCTTTTGAGAATGTTTGCCTGGTTTTTGTGATCTTAACAAAGGATGAACATATCGCCCACATATCAACTGTTGAATGGAAAAGTTCTTAATATACTGTGTCAGTGAGACATTTTTTTGTCCAGTTATTAAAATTTCAGCTAATATGAAGTCTGGCGAATAAACACTTTAGGCGTAATCTATTTACCTACATATTAAACCTTTGAATATAAAGCCAACATTCATAGGACATTTGAGTAAAAATAAGAAAACTCAAGTGGGGAAGACCGATTTATTGTTCAATGCAAAATTACAAAGTGGTTTCACATCTTCCATCAGTTGTCCTATACAGGTTTCATTATTCTTTTGATTTTTATTGTTTTAACAGTTATACTTTCTTTTTTCCATTCTGTCTTCTTCAATTGAATCTTCCTAATCCTTTTCAGGCATAAATTCCACTTCCGATTGTACTACATACTACTGATATCTATGAACATCAGTAATATACACCACACATATATATTGTGATCTCTTAGTAGGGTAAAGACGGGTTTAAAACTCTTTTTGGGAGAAAAAAAAGCAAATAAGCGTATTACATATAGGGACATCACCGTTTGTCAACTAATGTTTACATTTCCTATGATGTTGACGAACTGGCATATATCTAGGGCGGTGTGAACATAAACCGAGTTTTTAAATGAGACCAATTCTGGCTATAAATAATGGTTGGAGATCATTTTAAAATCACTCAGAACATTAATTTATATTTATAACCTTAGTACGTAATGAACACTCGCTTAAATGACAGTCTTTCGTTCATATATCTGTGTCTACAATGTAATAAACCATTATTCTTTGATACTCCACAGATCAGCAAACAGAGATGATTATGGAAATTCTATCGTCAAGACCAAATGCAGAACGACAAAATATTGTGCATCGGTACAACAGGATTTTTAAAAAAGTTTGTGTCTGATGTCTTTTTTAAATATTGTGTAGTGATGTTTTGTACTCAGATCATTGTTAAATGTATTTCAAAAGAAGCGGTAAAACATTAAGCGCTAACTCTTTATTATGGTGAAATGTTAAGCTGATTCTTGATTTTATAACTTTAATGTCAAGCATTTTAAAGCCAAGCAAATACGTCAATTAAGTTTAAACGTAAATAGACTGTACACGTCGTTAGTAGGTATTTATCTATTATCTAACCTATATCCTTGCATAAGTTATTCATTCTTTAAAATGGAATTCCTACCTCTCTTTGGGTAGTTAAATCAAGTATGCTGATTATAGATTGTCCACTTGCTGACCGATAACATTTGAAAACAATTACAAGAAATATGGATAGTGGCTAGCACTGGAATCCAGGAGGCGCGTTTCGTCCTATCTGGGAATCGTCCGCTGGATGAGCCTGCATATCATAGATGATGTTCACTCTGAGACTTGAACCCAGTTCCGCTCGCGTTTCCTGGATTCCACTGCTAGCCACTATCCAACCTTGCTTATAATGATTGTGAATTAAGGAAATATCGAGGCAATACGCATAGTATGCACATACGCCAATAAGAGACTGATCAATTACAGTCCCAAACATCAATCAGAAGATTCAAGTAAACAATAGCAAGTGAATTATGGGAAATAATCTAAAGTTCTAAGTAGGTGCTATTTATGTCTATATAATTGGTCCGTTAGTGATAAACCTATCTTTACTAATACCGAATTAATATATAAATAAGTTGCTCATATTGGTGTAAGTGTCAGACCATAAAATCAATGGTAAGATTTAAATAACTAACGTAAATTGACTACAGCTTGTTCCATATTCTGTTACTCGAGTAAACAGTTTATCTGTTGCTTTACTTGTATTTTCATTCACTAAATGCAAACGAAATTCCCCTGAGGCAAATACTTTGAGTAGCCTATAATAATATGTAGACTTGTAACTTGACAACACGTTTAAGGAATTGTTTTCAACACTTCTCATACATGAACAATAATAAAACCCTTTTCAGAAGAGGTATATATTTACTCATCATACAATTTTTGATTGGTACTTTATCACGAATTACTTTTGAATTCATGCATATATATGTATATACATAACGATAGATAATTTAATAAGTTCCTATGACGAAAATCAATGATACCTATCGACGGACCTCAACAATTCCTCGAGAATGACTTCAGAAGCTTAAAAAACTAAAATCTGTTTCGTCAAATGAATGTTAATTTGAAATGTCCAAGTAGATTGTAGATAACGACGGATAAATGCTTCATTACTGACATCGAAATTAAGTAAACGTAACTGCTTAAGACATCTTTGTAAAAAGCTTGCATAATCTCAAATGGTGCAAAGGGTCTTCTTAAAAACGGTTATTTTCTTCACTTCTACTTACTGGTATCATAATTGATAAACTAATTTCTAACTAATTAAGATGCGAAGATTGTGATTCCTAGCTGAAATTCATATTGCTTTCTACATGTACGAATATCAAATGAAAGCTACAATGGAACACAGTAACTCTTTCTCAATTCTTTATGTGATTATCTGTAATCAACTACGACAAAAAAGACAGAGGTTTATCCATAGCTACTAATTTTTTGGAATCATGGAGTGAAACGCCTGTTGAATGATGTGTCTAGCAGTAAGTTTCAGATCAGTCATTCATCACCCTAGTTTAAAATATCACGAACGCTCTTGTTTTCTTTACTATTTAGTCTCTACTAAACGAAAGAGAAAACTTTAAATCGGGATTAATGAAACAATTATTTGAAGATCTACTAACAGACACATCTATATTATTAGCTGATGAGCTGTACACTGCAATAAGTGCTTCCAATTTACAAAAAACGACAAGTATACTGATTGATTTCTGGGGTGATGAATTTGATCAAGTGGAAACTGCTTATAAAATATGTTAGTAAATTTTAGAGGTTTATTTTTTTATTATTTGATTTCTTACCATTACATGTTATATAAAAGTGGAATAGAGAGCACTATTCTGGATTAAGTCGGCTAGTTAAGTGAAACGTTTTAGCACTTACATTGGCAACCTATTGAACTCAGTATCCAATGGAAATATAGGTAAGTGTTCCAATTGATAGTTAATGTGTTCAATTGTGAACTATAGCAAAAATGTTCAGGTGCATCTAGATGATTACACACTTACTTACGCCTGTTACTCCTCGTGGAGGAGCTTAGGTCACCCATCAGCACTCTCCACCCAACCCCGTTCTGTGCAATCCTCTCTAGCTTTTTCCACTTGTTATCCTTTTCATATGTGCTTCTATTCCCCGTCGTAATGTGTTGTTTGGTTTTCAACGTTTCCGCTTCTCTCCAAGATTTAAAGTTAGAGCTTGCCTCATGGTGCGGTTTGGTGATTTCTGTAATGTGTGTCCATCGTCTTTTCCTAATTTTCTCTTCATCTGGAAGCTGGTGTATTTTCTCCCACCGTAGACTGTTGCTGATGGTCTCCGGCCAATAGATGTTGAGTATCTTGCGTAGACAGCTAATTATAAACACTTGTACCTTCTTGATGATGGCTGGAGTAGTTCGTCAAGTTTCTGCTTCATACGAAAGAGCTGTCTTGATGTTCATATTGAAGATTCTGACTTTGGTATTTGTTGACGGTTCTTTTGAGTTCCATATGTTCTCCAATTATATGAATGTGGCACTTGCTTTACTAATCCTCGACTTTACGTCTAGATGATTAGGGCGAATTAAAATGAATTATGTATCTTATGTCTCATAACTAACCGTAGCCAAAATAAATAACAATCCTTATGACAGAAAAAAATTGCTGATGTTAAACAACAACTAATAGAAATGAACGGAATATTCTGATTGAATGATAACACTAGCTTATGAATACCTGTGAAGCGTACATGAATTCTTTTAATCTAACTACTTTTCTCATGAAATTTATCCTCAAATGTTATTAATGTATTGTAGTGCGTTTTTTCTGAAAGTTCATTCTCTGTACTGTTTAAACGTTGAACTTCTATTCAGCCTCAAAACAGCTGATATCATCTATTATAATCTGAATACTTTGTAATTTAAATATTCAAAATTGTAAACAAACTCTCTCAATAATTTCAGATTGGTTGTGTTAACATTTGTATTCGGAAATTTTATTTATCTAATTTAAACATATAAACAGTGGTTCAAGAAGGCACCAAATAGATATACACACATAAATCATTCGATATGTTTGAGTGCTGGGATACTACCCGGGTGCTCGAACCGAAGTAGGTGGTTTACTTAGGAGGCTACACTCAGAGCCTTTGACCTAAAGGTCTGATCCATAAGGCAGCAGTTACAACACCATGGTAGCTAGTGACCAACGATTGGTTCATACGCCATTTATTCCTTCAGGATACTGGAGACCATGTACACTACTGGTTTGGAATCAGGGTTTTCTAACTCTCTTAGTTTAATCTTCCATATGCACCAAACCGGTTTAAGCGCCTGCCAGACATCGGGTTTTCGTCCTCTCAATTTCGTAAACGACACTCCGGTGGCGAGAAGGCGATGAGTAGGACTTTCCTGTCTGTGGTTGTATGCAAGTGGCCATGAAAGAACCGCTTCGTGAAGGAGAGTTGAATCTCCTCACTCTCGACCATATCAAGGCATTTGAAGGCTTTATTCGAAAAACAAAATAGGATACAATGAAAAATATTTAAAAAATGTAATCTACCCTTAAATACCATGTTTGTATTCATTATTCAATGAATAAAGTGAGTTCTACAAATCCTACCCATTACATTATAGATTCTACAGAATCAATCTGGAAGTCTATAAAGAAAAAATTTGGAAAATCTGTAAAATCTATTTTACATTGCATAGTTGAAACAAGAAAATATGAAACTAAACAAGAATATCCAATTAAAGGTCGAGGTGGTAAGCCGATAGTTAAAAACACAGTAGTGGTTGAGGTATTTTATGACTTGATGAACGTGTTGGATTCGAAGTACGTCCATATTTGGGAGAAAACTGAAAAATAGTTTTATGATTTTATACATCATTTAAGCGTTTTTGGTTTTTAGTATTGTTTACATTGTAGTATATTCCAATTAGAATGCTTAAATATCCTTAACCTTCATCGAGTCTGCTTGGCGTGTTGTTGTTTCATAAATGTAGACTGGAATTCGGAAGAAAATGTGCTTTCACCTGCTATAAAATGTTCTAATATTAATGTTATTGTTCGGCAAGACTATAATTAGATATAAGATAACAAGTCTTGGATTTTAACGCTAAATTAGTTTATCCATTTGGTCAAGTAGCGTTTTGGTATTATAGTTGTTGTTAGTTCGTGATGAAAACCCGAAATCTAATTCCTAACCTTAACCATCAATTGTAAATCATAATTCGAATTCCTCACACTGGTTTATAACATTCATTTAGTCTTAGTTATTAGATAGACACTCTCAAGGTCACTTTGGTGTCGCCCGAAGGTCGTCCATAAATTATAGTCGCACGGCAAACTCTACTTAAGCCGTCAGCTGACATATATGCTGTTCAAAAGTACCATTAATTCTTTCAGATAATGATCTTTTGAGAGATTTCGTATTGTCGTAAACAGTCACTTAAAAATGTCTATAACAACGAACATATTCTTTGTGTGTACTCTCAGAGTGATCGTTAGGATTCCATAGAAAAATAGTCACAAGTATTCAAATGATCTGGTTGTAAATTATCTCACTTTACTAACAACAGAGAAACTATGTTCTATTGCTCAGTCCATTACACATAACAGTCTATGTTTTAGTTATAGAAACAAAGATTTTATGGTGGCTTTCCTTTACAAATGCACACTTTTAAAAAACCTTACTTTATTATGTATTTCTAATCATTCTCTGACAACTGATGAGTGAATATACATTAATTCCAATGTTTCTCTACTAGTAACAAGTTTTTTTCAGTTAAGTTATTGATGCTTAAGACGATAATCGTGATCATGAATGTTCACTGTTGAGGAGTCCCATAACAGAACAGTGCTTCCAGATTTTTAATGGTGATCTAATATCATTAGGTTCATGATCTCAATCAAAATCGAAATATGTTTAGGAATTTCTTATGTCAGCCTATTGATTGTCGAAACATTGAATCCTCTGATAATATATAATTCCTATCAACATCTTATAACTAACTCTGTGAAGAATGTTGTTTTGAATGTTGTTTTCTTCTTGATTTCAGCAACGATGTGGGACAGCAACTTGGTGAACGTCTATGTAAACTTGATTCATTTCAATTTCAAAAACTAAACATGATTTATAGAAAAGTACGTCTGTTAACTGATACTATAAAGTTGATTCATAAATGTCATTTTCTTAACTTTGTGATTATTTGAATGCCGGATCAGTGGTCTAAATGTTCGGCGCTTGAGAGCGAGACTGATGGGTCCTGGGTTCGAATCTCGCGAGGCCGGATCGTGGATGCGCACTGCTGTACCAGGACAAAACAGCCGTCCAGTACTTCGAAATTTCCGATGATGGTTTAGCTTTAACTGACTGATGATCTGAACTATTTAATTTACTACAATCTCCACAGAAACCCTTCCGATATTTCAAAATATAACCATCTTTAGAGACAGATTGTAAATCTTTGAATATTTTCTGATTTTTTTAATTAATTTCTTTCTTTCTATCCATATATAATTTCAAAGAAACCCGTTAGACAACTTGGTGAAGTTCTTGAAAGCAGGACATCGGGTCAACTCCACGATATTTTATTAGCAATGTGTAAGTATTATCAATCTAGTACGCCTTTTTTATTGAATCAACCTCATTTTACCTGTATATACCAACAAATAAGTGTAATTTATTATTATCATTTAATTCATTTTCAATACTTAAAAACATACCTCCTAAATAACTATAGAATAACCCATGAATATCCACCTCATCCAAATAAGTTGTTAAACATGTTTAACAACTATACTCCGCCTGGAGTTCCTCCGCAGCTATTACCATTCCCAAGCCCGGATAAACGATGAGGGGTGTGTACGGGGTTATTGACACCGTCTCGTAGAAAAACTAACTCTAAAAAACGTTAACCAGCAAAAATATATACTGTTATAAAGATCACGTAAGAATTAATCAGAATACTATGTAGATCATCTAAAATTAATGAAGGAAAAAAGATTAATGATCAAATCGATTAACAAATTTTAAATTTGTGACCAGAATACGAAAGGAGAAAGAGTATGTGATCGTGGAGAAGATCTGTAGCGCAGGTGAATGATTTTGATGGAGTTTTACTCTCTGAGCTGATAGACGTTTGTGTTGATGATGTCGCTCAAAAGAACGACAACCAAACCATCCAGCTCAGCGAACAAAACTCCATCAAAAAGAGAACGAGTATATTTCTTTTCAAGTAATAGTTTCAGAAATGATTTGTATATAAAAGATGTGTGATCAAGTGAATGTGAAAAAACAATGTTTTTTTTGTTAACTTTCTGTTTATTATGTAAATTATCCAGCAGAACGAAAGAACCATTTCATTAGTCAGTAAAGTTCTAATCAATTACCGCTTTCTATTTCCAATCGGGCAAGGAACATGTTTCGTGATACATCTTGTATAGTGTCCACATGAAATACATGATTTACTTGACACAAACAAAACACGAAAACCATCTGATTTTATTTCTTCTACTTAAAATGATGGAAAACAATTTTTTTATTATTTATAACAACGTCTATGAAATCTTCGTTTTCATAAGCTTCTGATTATGTTCCGCATAGACGGATACGAGGGATTATAGATTTAATCCCGAATGATTGATCACTGGGCGGTGATCAATGTCATGTGTGTCAAGTCCTTCTTAGTGCAGATCGAATGCTATCGACCAAGTGGTAACGTCTTTGACTGTGAAGTTGGGTGACACGAGATCAAATCCGTCAGGTAACACTAATTCCCACAAGATTACAGGTACACCTTGCTGAAGAGTGCCAAGTTACATGAAACCTGGGTTCAGGGTTTCCTATTGGCTACCTCCAACCACCATCTAGAGTATAGAATTGTTGGTGAGATTTTCGAAAAAACAAACTATCGCTTTCCATAACTCTTCATAAAACTGGAATCACTAATAGTTTCTATCTTTCACCTCTTATCATTTCTCTCTCAGTATCAAATGTCTATCAACTGTCAGATCTTGTGTTAACTTCTGTATTACCATATTTTTACAATTTTCCGAATTCTCATAGTTTCCTTTACTGATTCTCTATATGTAGATGTTCAGTTGTTTTTATAGATTGGAAAACATCTTTTAAGTTAATTTAACTTTGTAAAATTATGATGGATTTATATTTTAAAACCAATAATTCCAACGAAGACAATTAAAAATTGTCTTCAAGAAGTATTTCATTCTGATTAAACATAAACGTTTAAGCCAGTAAAACATTTGTGAACCGGTTGATGCTAGATCACCATTCAAAATCTGGAAGCACTGGAAGGCCGTTCCGTTCTATTGTAAGGCTCCTCAGCAGTGCTCATCCATGATGCTGCTCGCTGGAATCAAACATAAGGCCTTTGGTCTAACGCATGGACAGCTATCCTCCAGACCACTGAGCCAGCATTTCAATCAAAACTATGATAGTCTCCATAACCCTATACTTACAAAACGTTTGGCTTATTTTCCGTATTTAGTAAACACTAACTGAGTGAACAAACTATATCACTATTTGTCATCAATAGTATAAATCAGGTTGGCATAGTAAATACGATTGTAAAAACCGTTTATCTATAGCAGTTCCTGAAAATCTTGGAATACTAAAAAAAGATATTGAACTATCATCTTACAATTTTGCTTCTGAAATTTTATAAAGTACAGAATACCATGGTTACTAGGTTGATTCTCATGTCTCTCAGCTGTCAGACCTTTTGTTCACGATTAACATCACATACTACTTATGTCAATATAAGTAGCACACACCACAGTATCACACTAATCAAATTATATTAATCGTTGGTGTAATATTTTATTGAGTACCGTTATGTAGTTCAGTAAAACTTTTATCCATGTATATTTAATTTTAGATAATTATTCCATTAATAAACCAATGTATTTTGCTACGTTAATCCACGATGAGCTTCATAAAGAACTTACTGATAGCTTGAGTGTTCAACGTTTCTTTATTTTTCGTTCTGAGGTAAGCTTATGCAGAATACATAAAATATTTTCAATGTTTGCATTTATTCAATGTAATTAGATGGAAGAATGAAGCTTGCAGAACTGTTGTATATGTACCAACAAGAGACTGATCAATAGCAGTCATAAACAAAAATAGGAAAATACAAGCAAACAACACCAAAAGAATTTAAACTTCACCCCATTGCACAAGCAGGTAGCTAACAGGATTCAGTAGCTAAGTGGACAACGCGGAAACGATTGAAGCGAACAGTACTTGATTCGATTCCCAGAGCGGATCTAAACTCGGATGCAGATACATCCAGTGAATGAGTCCCAAATAGGACGAAACGCGCATCATGGATTCCACTGATAACCACTATCGATTTTTGTTTAAAAAATCATTTGCTTACGTATGTTATAACTCTAAGAATGAGATTTCATTTGTCTCAACTTTCACTGTTTCTCAGTCAGATATGTGTCATTCAAATTAATTTTGAATATTTTTTTCTGGTTAGCGTTTTTTTAGCGAGTTAGTTTTCTACGGGATGGGGACGCTAACCCCATGCCCAACCCTCCTCCTTTATCCGGGCTTGGGACCGGCAGTAGCTCCCGGAGGGACTCCAGGCGGAGTTCATTCAAATTAAAAACTGTGTTTAATAAGCTGATAATCAGATTAGATTACGTTTTGTCCCTGATATTGGTTATTTTATTGAAAATTGTTATAAACCACCGATTATCTACTTTTCTAAATAGCAAGAACAAAGATTAGTGCAGAATAGCATAAATTCATTTTATTTCATTAGGTTATCATAAGTTGCTTAAAACCTAAAAATATTTGAAAATCAACGTTATTACAGATATTGATATAATGTGATGTGAGCTACTTGTATCCAGATAAGTAGTATATAACGATGGTCAGTCGTAGAATGTATTTCAGTAGAGGATCGAGAAGGAAAGAACGGAAACTGAAAATAATTGGTATGAAAATGCATGAACAAAGCAATCTAAGGTGATGGACTGATATTTACAAAGTAGTAGTCAAGATTTAGACAATTGATTGATATTTTGCAAATTAACTATTCACTGTATGGTTCTCAGATTTAGTGACATACTCTGTAATTTTGTGTCTAGATATATTTGATTCTCCCCACTTGTGTTTTTGTTCACTATTATTCTTGTACATTAGGGGGTGATTAAGAATGAATATATGTACCATGATGTAACGATGATCTCGACAGAGTTAATGAGAGAAAGTTCCAGAACATTGGAAGAGTGATTAGAACTTATGAAGTTAACAACCATTAGATGATTATGCGACGAAGGTACTAAAAGTAGATTAATGGTAATAAAGAAAGATATGAATTGAAATCAGTCAGTTATGAGTGGAAGAAAAATGACAATGATTTAATTTGAACTTCAGAACGAGTTGAAATAATGAATGATGTAATAAATAAAAAGGAAGTTTAATGTTACCAGAGCAAAGAAAGATTTATTACTGTCTCTTCTTCATTACATCGATCTGGTTTTAGACGTTCGATTGCGATCGCTTCCTTCTCTCTCTCTCTTGTTAAAATAATAAATGGAACTGTTATGAGCTTATATCCGGCTTTTTATCACATGATTTATCCACCAATCAATCTTTGCACTGTGCCAAACCAATGACGTTCGACCGGTATTAGCAGTCTAGCGTCTTTATTGGTCCTATGTCCGTCTGGCCGGTCCACTTGAGTTTAGAACACAGTACCAGCTCCCAATATTCGAATCGAATCATTTACTTCAGACATACTGGGTTTATATATCAAACAAACAGACCGCAACGCACCATAAAATAGGAAATAACATTTGTGCACAATAAAGCCAAAAAGTGATTGTGAACGTGGGAGGCTGTAGTCAATAAACTGAACATAGCTTAAGAACCGTAAATCGTACAATACTAAATCATAGGTCAAAATAAAGCTTAAAATAAGAGGAATATAAATATACATAATCTAATTATTGAATAGTTATACCATAAGATGATATTAGTCAATTATTATGTCTAAGAAGTTACTCGTGATTTAATCTTCGCTCGGATATAACATAAACTATGTGCATGAAATATCTATATTTTGTCCTGTATTTTTTGTCGTAATTACATTTTCATCACAAGTAATAGGTTTTATTTGTCATTCTTACTTTATAATATTACAGATTGATTTACATACAATAGATAAGTTATATAAAGTAATCTATGGAATAGATCTGTCAGAAGATGTCAAACAAAAGTATCATAGTGAATATGGTAATACCTTGTTAAAACTTTTGAAAAAAAGAGAAATCCCAGATATATTTCAACATTCAATCTCAATATTACCACCATTAGTTCCTTTGATTAAAGTCTGAAATGATGTTCATTCTGTTTATGGATTTTGTTTCATTCACTTGTATGATAATGAATGGATATGTTCTTGGAGTTTTTTGCTGTTGCTTGTAAAATGTCAATGGTAAAGTTGTGTAAACGAGTTATTCTGTTGATGTTAACTTTTGATAAAAAAAACTAAATATAAGTCAGTTTGAAGAAAAGTTGTTTAAACTGTAAAAAAAACCTCTGAACTAGATAATTTGGTCGTGGAGATTTCATCGTTCTTCTGAATGATATCATCAGTATAAACTTCAGATAGAAGTGAAGTGTTCAAATTCCTGCACATATGATTCACAGGTTGTCCTGTAGACCTCGTTGTTGGTTGGTTCCTGGTGACCTTAAATCTATCAATGTTTACTTCTTTATTTTGGTTGTATCTATCAGTGGTTTGATTTTTGGTCTTATGTTTGTTCATAAGTTAGTAAAAAACTATTTATTTAATACTAGGAATGATGATTTGTGGGTTCACTATCGAGTCAATTATTTCATTACTATAAGATGATGTCCTTCAATGTTTAGATCGTCCCTTACAATCCGCTGGTATATCGCTCATAGTATGTGAACGTGCATATCAGGCTAAGAACAGTGCCTTACTTTGAACATACAGAATTTGAAAGATGTTAAGGAAGCAACCCTAGAACCTTGAATTCGTTGTAGCATTTTATAAACAAACTCTTGAAATTTCAATCTTCAGATTGCCCTGAAGGTGATGAAACTATTCAAGTGTTTTTGTGTTTCCTGGTTACATAACAGTCATATAATATATTTAAGTATCCATTGTCATAAGTGGTTGACGATGTCTTCGATGACAAAATTTATAATAAAAATAAGTCAAACAACAAAATATCATTCTTAGATGTACTAGACACCAGAACCGTCACAGGAAAACTGAAGACCTAAGTACATCAGAAGCCGATTCACACAGATTAAATTCTCAATTACAGTAGCAAAAACCGAAAAATACAAAAAAGCAACTGCGTACAAACCTTATACAAGCGGTAAATAAAACACTACAGCACACTTGCAGCACTGAAAAACAAAGATAAAGTATCTAGCGACTATCCTTCAAAAGAATGAGTATCTATGCAATTTCACCAAAAAATATCAACCAAATGCAGGAATGAAGTCAAGTACAGAAACCAACAAACAGATCATTCTAACATATATAAAAGACATATCACTAGTTATGAATTTACGGAAGCCATTTGCAATAGGTGTAGTATAAAAATCAACAAAATCATTTCAATCACTCCTATGCAAACCAAAGGAAGAAATGATAAAAGAGGAAAAAGCAAACATTATCTATAAAATAAACTGTTCCAATTGTGAAAAACAATACATCGAACAAAGTGGACGCGCCCACCATCTTCGCCTGCATGAACATCAATTAGCGGACAAAACATATGGACATGTGTGGACATTTATTTGACTGGATAAATGTTGAGATCTTGGACAAAGGGAAAACTAAACACTCAAGTTCATCAGCAACCAATAAGCACATTGAAATCAACCCAATCTCTCAGTCAATTAGAAAAATCATGGACAAATATAGAACCAAAAATCAAATCAAGGAGAGAGATAATCAAAACAAAAAAGTGAACAATGACAGGTTAAAGGTTAACAATAACAAATCAAGATTGAGTTTGACAGGACATACTGTGAGTCATATGTGGAGAAATTTGAACACTTCACTGCTATTTGAAGTTTGTGCTGATGATGTTGTTCAGAAAGCACTAAAAACTCCGGGACCAAACTATCCAGCTCAGTGAACGAAACTCCACTGAGGAAATAAAGTTGTTTTAGTAACCTCTATGTGAACTTAAGGGGCAGCTAACTGCAGGAATATATTCACAGTATGTGTAAATAAAATATTTTACAGTCAGTAATAAAGATGAAAATTCAAAGCGAAGAATTTATGAATGAATCACTAAAAGTGATCTTTTTAACTTCCCCTCACCGTCTACAGAAATGACCGCAGTAAGCACAACATAAGATGCTGTATGAATAAAACTAAATGAAGTCCACGATAAATAGGTTTTCATTGAAATCATAAACTGTTCAATGTTAGACCACCAATGAAAACCAAGAAGTACTGGATGGCTTTCCTTTAAATTGAGCATATGATGAAATTAATTTGTTTAAATGGTTTCTGTTAAAGTGGTGTCTCATAAAGCATTGTTTACTTTTGACAACGAACAAAAATCAATCATCTTACTATAAATGCCCTTATATGGCCGAGGGTTAAAAGAGTCCACTTTCCTCTTGAAAAGCTCTCTCATGACTACGTGCCAGGGAAGTATGACTGACTGTTATCTCTCTAAAGGGGTGTTGTTTACGAAATTGAGAGGACGAAAAGCCAATATCCGGCGCTTTAGCCGGGTTAATAGATATGGAGGATCCACTTAAAGCGGATGGAAAACCCTGATTTCCAACCAACTGTATACATGAGCTCTAGTATCCTGAACGAACAAATGACGTATGAACCAATTATTGCTCACTGGATACCATGGGATTGCATCGTCTCACTTTGTTGCACTGCATTGTGGATCAGACCTTTAGGTCAAAGGCTCGGGGTGTGGCCCTATAAAAAACCACCCACTTCGGTTCGGGCATCAAGGTAGTATCTTAGCCCACACATAAATCAAGTGACTTGTGTGTCTCATATGTATTCCATGCCTCGTTGTACTAGTATTTATGTGTTCAAATAAATATTAAGTAATTTTACAGTGAACTAACATTGAGTGCGAGCATATATAATCCCTAAAGTATGGAAAATAAGCACTCCCTAACAGCAAAAATATTGTTCCTTTGGATATACAGAACCTCTGAGGATATTTACAGAAAAACTAACTTTTAAGAATAATGGTTTTAGTAATCGAAGTTATTGTTGAACTCTTAATAATCAAAAGACGAAAATGCCAACAGAAAAAAATATTTTTAAAACAATAAGAAAAATTAGTTTTCTGTCTCCAACCATGTGGCCAACATCTTTGTCCCAGTCATACTTAGTGTTTTGAATCATATCATCTGTTGGCAACAAAGTATGAGTATGAGAATTCCTTCAATAGATAGTGGCGAGTTATTGTCTTCGAAAACATCTGCCATGTGTTCTGCCGAACCAGATTTCCTAATGTCTACGCTGAGGTTTCTGACGTGAACGATAATACTAACTCTGTGGCACTACCTCACGAGTCATCACTTGGTGTCAAAGCAACAACAACTCAGTTCTCTGCAGATACGAAACTTACATCTTCTGTAATGGCGTCTGCTAAGAGTTCTGTCGACATCAAATGCGAAACAGAGAGTCAGAAAGATGATTGTTTTATTCAGTCTGCTGATGACGATAAGACGTTTGAGACAGCTACATCTGTGTGCCCTTTAGTTGGGTTAGAGAAGGAGATACAACATCTATTACCAGACTTTAAGGATAATAGAGTAGCTAAAGAAATTATTCGTCGGAACATAGAATGGTACCACAATACTCCCTACGCAAGTCATCATGGAGGAATATGGGAAAGATTAATAAGAAACATACATATAATTTTGAGCGCCGTATCTAGCGAGCAAACTATGTCCTACGAGACACTCACCACCTATTTGACTGAAGTAGAAAGAATACTTAATGATAGACCTTTATTCCAGTTTACTGCAACCCAGAACAACTCGAGACATTGTCACCCAATAATTTACTTTTGTTAAGAAAACCTCACATTCATCAGGTTGAAATAAACCTACGCGAGCGTTATTCCCGACAGTGGCGACAAGCGCAACTGTTGGCAACTACATTTTGGCGTCGGTGGATAAAGGAGTATTTACCACTCTTACAGACGCGAACAAAATAAACACAAAGAAGACGAGATTTACAAGTTGGCGATCTAGTCTTGATTATTGGAGACAATTATGTACGAAATAATTATCCTGAAGGCCTAGTGGTAAGTATCGACCCAGGAGAAGATGGTCTAGTGAGACAAGCGAAGATCAGGACGTCGAAAGGTATAATTATTAGAGACATACGTAAAATTTGTTTATTAAAAGGAGTGGACGACCGAACAGTAGAGGATAAAGAGACCTT